TGCGCATGAAGATCACTTCATCCTGTCTCGTAGAGAACTTAACTTTTTAGAAAAAACACCCGTTGACATATACTGACGTTTTAAAGTATCGCGTAATTTAGATATTTTCATAGCTGATAAATCATTCAATGTAAGGTCATTCCATTCTCGCGCAGTAACAGTAAAAAAGGATATTTTTTTACTATTTGCACCGGTGTAGTTATACAGTTTCACCTAAATGTAATTGCCGAAATAATAGGGAGGATATCCAGCATTATTTTTTGCACTGTTCCCTATATAATACTCAATGACAAGATCTTTCACAAAAACTTTCTTTTATGCCTACATTCTCAGTTGGTGTCTGGTTACTGAATCTAAACTTTGATCACGATACTTTAACATGTTTACTAGATACAGTCCTCGTGTATATTCAACAAACGAACAGATTTGAATAACTGCAGACATAGTAATTTTCAATTTTCAATTTTTATGATATTCATCCTTTCTCTGTCGTCTGGCCTGTCTTCTTAGTTTTTTATATTGCTACTCGTTTGTTAATCTTATCCATAATTACCTTACTGTGAGCACCTACGGACAACATCTTTATTATTGTTAGGTACATAATGACCTTTGACCGCTAACTTTTTTTATCAGAATCAATAAAGATATACAACAACGATTTCTCTGCTACTTAAAGCTACGTTCTTTTTACGTTCGACTCGATTTCAGAAGGTTTTCATGCAAAATAAAGGTCATGTTCGTAATCAGCGTGAAATTTTGCATCGGATCATGTGTCTTTAATCGAAACTCGAGAAGAAAAATTTTCAATGATCTAAGGATAGGATAGGAGCAAAAACTTTTGAAAAAAACGAAAGTCAAAAATTTGAAAAATAAAATGAGCCATTTTGTTCAGAATTCGATGCTGATCATCGTCATATAGTTTTTTTTCGGAATTGTTTAAGGCCGCTCTAATAGAAAACCCTCCCACGTCCTTTCATTTTTCTCTATAGGTGAATTACTATTAGCTATAGATATTAACAATGTATGTGTATATTGAACACACTTCTATAAAATATTGCTATTCTCTTTTTGATTTCTATATACATGACCCTTTGACACACTTTCCAACAGTATCATCGGAAGTTGTTAATAATAATCGTGGTTACGTTATTATTACTGGAACAATAAAATTAATTCCAACAACGAGTCAATGTATTGCTGTGGCAGCTTTAACGGCTGTATATTAAATTTTTAATATCAGTTATTCGAATAACACGAAGATGACTCTTCAGCATTCAATGGTGTTCCACTGGAATCAAGAGATTTTAATTCTCACTTGGTTCTCATAATGATAAAAGTACGATTCATCATCAGTTATAATGTCGAATACACGACGGGATCAGCCTCCTTCAAATCTTTTCAGTGAATCACGATAAAACTGACTATGGAACTGTTTTTGGTTATCGGTGAGTTGATGAGGTACCCATTGAGTAATGCCCATGGTGTCTTCAATCTGTGCGTATGCTGAATGAAGATCATTTTCAATTATTGCTTGGACAGCATCAACTGTTTCTTCGTTGACAGTAGCTCGAGGACAGCTTGAACAAGCAGCATCTTCAATACTGGAATTACTGTGTTGAAATTCATAGCATCAATTGAGAACGGTACGATCAGTATAACTGCTTGAACCCCCATGCTTGCACTAAACGGACATGGCTTTCGTTATACGTTAAGCTAATTTTTCAGTCATATAAAATTATACTGCGAAACTGTTCACGTGGGAGTTCAAAAGTCATATAAAAAATGTTATATGTTTAATTTGAAAGAAATGTAAAAGTACAACGACGCACAGACTTCTAAGTTAATTCTGCATATGTCTAGCATTATAGTAGAATCGTTCCATTCAAACTATGGCTTCTAGGAGAACCAGGCGAAAAAACGTTTTTAGTGCCTTATGCATCTTATTTGTTTGTTGTTATAATTAATCAATCGATTTTGTCAGACACAATTTTTCTGCTTTAACAATTGTATCAGAAAGAGATATAAACATACAACGACGCACACTTCTAAGTTCGAAATTTTCCACATAATTCTGAATATGTCTAAACATTATAGTAGAATAGTTCCATTCAAATTATGGCTTTTACGAGAACCGGGTGAAAAAACGTTTTTAGTGCCTTATGTATTTGATTTGTTTGTTGTTACAATTAATCAATCGATTTTGTCAGACACAATTTTTCTGCTTTAACAATTGTCTCAGAAGCCGTTTCTGTTCTCGGTATTTCACACTATCATTTTGAACATTTCTGATTAGTTATCCGCCAATTTTTGTTTGTGTATAGTATCACCATGACTCCAAGGGCGATATAGTATTGCTCTTAAATGGTTGAGTCGTTTGAGCATGTTTTGAGTACATGAAATCGCTCAAAACAGGATTTCGTCGTGCATCGACAATTTATCAAACATCGAGAAAGAATGTTATAGATGCGTCTATATTCACACAAGCCATAATGAGAAGATCATGCATTATAGTTATAATAATTGAACCTTTTACTAACAAATATTTTGGGCGTGGCGCTATAATAAAATCACTGTTTTTGTACATGTCATAGAAAAAGGTTACATATATATTGTCCAAATGAGTTCGTTCTTCTTTTTCAATAATTTACATGGAATTGCACTCATCAACACGGCTGTTGAAGATAGTACTAGGAGAACGAAAGAAAGAAAGAAAGAGATTTGCAAAGAATATTATATTGTACGTATCTATGATTTTTAAATAAAACGTTGTGCCAAATCTCCTACGCAGCTAAATAATTATTACCTGTATAAACATCTATACATAAAGCTATTAAAAAAGTCAGGTCTTGTTACTCACTTCTAGTACCACGGGTATGAATCTAACGGGTTATAAAAAAATGATAATGAACAGTAATTCAAGTAGAATATACATATATATATATACGATTGCGAATAACATTTCTATTCCACTTCACTTTCGTAATTTTATTAACAATGACAACAAAATTACATCTAATCAAACAATGGTGGCGCCTTATTTTCACTGTTACAGTACCATTGGTATTACTTCCTCTTCCACTTGTCGGAAAATCAGATGTAAGTTACTGCTAATGCGCATGTCCTTTCTCTTAAACACTCTATGTGTCGGACTATCTATATATGAGCGAATTGCGTATGCTTCGTAGCGTTCTTGTTCCGTAAGTAAAGTACAAATATTTCGTTTTTGGCTAAACCTAATGGAGATCATCCGATAACACCGTTAGGCTCACCCCTAGCAAACGTCACCTATGGGAAAAATTCAGATACATTTCGACTGTAATCGGACGATACACAACTAGCTGCCATCTGGATTACTAGTTGGAAAAGTGGCTTAACCAGATGAGCCTGCAGGTGTAACTAGCAATAGTTAAATCGATGGATTGTCGGGCGATAAATCTATAGTTGCAACCAGAAGAAATCTAGCAGTCATCCGATTACTAGATTTCCAGTGTCGTTACACAGTAGTTGCAATCGACTAAAACTCTAGTAATCCAGATAAATTGGTGATACTAGATTTTTTCTTACTCTTCTGATCTAAGTGATATCAGCGATATATTCATAGCACGATCCGCTCATAGTCTGATAGATTCTTCTCAGCAAGGTACGGTATATAATTAGGCATGCACCAATCCGATAGTTCGCTTACTGAAGGGTTTGGTACCGAACATGTACTTCCACCAATCGGTTCTCTTACTGCATATGTTCGGCACAGAAATGTTATGTGACCGAATGTGTTCGCTACCTGATTTGTAAAAATAAGATTATTTTTTCGCCAAGCGAGCCATTTGGTCAGTACCAGTTGATAAGCGCAATAAATAGAGAATCTAATTCTGCATTTGAAAGCAAAAAAACTTTTTTCCCTTCCAAATCGGGTACACATGCTCGATATCGAAACATTCGGTGTCGATCAACGAACCCTGACTTAGAATTGTTGCATGTCTGTATATAATACTTACTGTTTATTGTCGATAATAATGGTTTTACAGCTAAAAACCCAGATGATTTCATACCGCTCAAAGCCAAAACCAATTTCTGTAGCATAAAAAAACCAAATGTTGAGAAAGATATATTTCCTTATACAATGAAGTAGGCTTTATCGATCGCAAGAGACGAATTTTTTCCATTTAGAACTTTATTCTCTTGTCAAAAGAAAATGCATAGAAACATGTTTTGGATTAATTTTTGTTTTCCTTCGTTACGTTCGAATGCTGTCGTTTCAACAGTTTTAGTTAGTTATAGAAGAATCTATTAGTATGGTTTGAACTTTCTAAAAAAACGAACAGTACATACAGTTTCGAAAAAAATGCAATCTGATCTATCTCATCTTTGATATATACAAAGAGGGAGAATAAGAGTACATCGATCATTTTTCCTTCTTTTTTTATTTTACATTATCTCTTCAGATATAATATGATATATGGATGTAATCTGAGCTGTTTGTTTATTTAGGAAGCAAGATGTGGTTACGTTATTATACTATTAATTGTTTTTTGGATAAGCGGAGCTATTCCAGCATCTATGACGTCATTATTGCCACTCGTCATGTTTCCAATGGCTGGTATTCTCAAAGCAAAAGATGTTGCACCCAATTACTTTGCAGTAAGTTCTAAATATGAACACATCTCAAAATATCACTTGTTCTATTCAATAGGATGTGGTAACGTTCTTTTTTGGTAGTGTAACATTAGCTTATGAAATTCAAAGTGTACATCTTCATCAGCGAGCAGCGTTTTTTGTTCTACGTTTAGTTGGTTCATCTCCAAAATGGTATAATTTACTATTAAAAAAATAAAATTAAGATTTTTCAGCTATTCTGTCTTGCTACTTTCTAGGACAATGGTAGCTATTATGGGAACGACAGGATTTATATCAATGTGGTTGAATAAGTAAAGTTTAAGAAGTTTATTTTATGAACTATTGTTACTTTGTATTAATTCTAGTGGTGCTAGTACAGCTATAATGCTGCCAGTAGCCCTTGAATTGGCCAATATATTTCAAAAGCGTACGGGTGATAACATTGACAATGTTCTAGAACAAGATAATGATATTAGAGGTATTTAGCGTTTTGTATGTCATCATTTCTCACATGTTATGTAGTTATCTATTTTTTAGCCATATCAAATGGTGTTAATGAAATGGAAAACATGAAAAATAGTGATGTTATTTTAAATGAGATAACAATAGTGTAAGTCTACTAAACTTTTATCTGCACCTTTCAGTTAAATATAACTTAACATTGTATAGGCCAAACAATCCTTCACAAATTGAGAAAAAATGTTATTTATGTCCATGTTGGAAATCATCGTCATCATCATCTGATCCACCACTCTTTCGCAGATCATCAGCAACATCAAACAGGAGTGAACAAATAACAACTTCATCACTCACTAAAGGTATGAGTTAGTATGCACAAACGCATGTACACAATACTAATGTGTCTTTTCTATTCAAGGATTTGTGTTAGCTGTTTCTTTTGGTTCTGTATTTGGCGGTTTAACTACAATTGTTGGTTCTCAGACAACAATCTTTGCTAAAGGATTTGTGGATTTGTACGTATCGGATATTATTTTTCAAATGTGACTTCGTCATGTTTTTTTGAAAATTTAAATGTTTAGACGATATGCAAATACAAGTTTTCAAATCACATTTGGTAATTATCTTCTATATGCATTCCCAGCAGGAGTGCTCATGTTAATTCTTGGTTGGCTCTGGTTACAAATACTTTATAATCGAAAAGAGTTAGTATTAAAAAGCTTAGTTATTATATAAATATATCACTCATCTATATAAATGTATTTTATTTATAGTTTATTTCAATGTAAATCAAATTCCCAAATGAGTGAAACTCAAACAGCTTTAAAAAACTTGTTAAAAACTAAACGAGAAGAACTGGGATCAATCAAGTACGATGAATAGATCTTATACATTATTATATATATATATACGAAGATATTTGTTTCTAGATGGAGTGAATGGACAGTGGGAATTCTTTTTATAATTGTTGTTGTACTATGGGTTACAAAAGATTTTGATACTAGACCTGGATGGTCAGTTATATTTCGTAAAGAGTAAGTTGCAACATCTCTTTATCTATCTACATATATATATAGAAGACGTTTTTTATTTGTTTTTTCAGTTATGTATCATCGGGAACAATAGCTTTATTGATAAGTCTCTTACCATTAGTGTTACCAGATTCAAATCCATTTAAACGTAAGCAACTCTATTCCACCTATGACAGAATATACATTTCTCTTTTTCTCTTTATTTGTGTCTATAGCCAATTGGACATATAAATCTATTATAGTATGGTCGGAATTAACAAAACACTTTCCGTGGAGTACATTGTTTTTGTTAGGTGCAAGTCTTTCCATAGCCGATGCATTTACAGTAAATATTATGAATTGATTTTGGGTTTAAACAATTATATGTATCTATATTTATAGGCTTCACGTCTCACAGATGTTGCTGCTAACCTTATCCAAACGGTTCTTTCAGCATCCAAAGTATTAGCCACATTAGAAATAATAATTATCAGTGCCGTTCTTACTCAAGTAATGGGTAACCTAACAATTGCAAGTATCTTCTATCCAATATTTGATACAATTGTAAGCGTTTCTTCCGTACCAACTACTGTTTTCGTTTATGTTCATTATTATTTGAAAGGCCCGAGCAAATTCAGTACATCCAGCCACGTATATATTACCGTGTACCTTAGCTGTTTCACTGGCATTGACCCTACCAATATGTAAGTTTCATTTCTTTCTGCTATGAGCCTAGATGGCAAATATCGAACCTTATGTTTTTCCAATTTGTTTTCTACAGCATCACAGCCAAATGCACTCATCTACGGTGGTGGTTATCTTCGTATAGGCGATATGGTTCGTGCCTTTCTCTCTATATAAATACATAATACTTCTTTACATTGTATGTTTGTATGTTGTAGCTGAAATCCGGCATTGGTATGATCACATTTGCAGTCTTTATTGTGCTGTTAGCAGCCACAAGTTGGATGCCAGCTGTTTTTAATATAAATGGAAATAGTTTATCATTGTCAGGGAATCTGACTACGACATTTGTATTTATGAACCATACTGTTAATAATACCGTTTGATTCGTTTGTTTTAACTCACTTGTGCAGATATTTTGTGCGTTTTCGCATTTGTAATAAAACATTGACATATTCATTATCTTTGTGTTATTAGCAGGGATACACAGTGACGCTTAGATTTTTAGAACAGAGCAGTTAAATACTCTTTTCATAGTTTGGCGTAAAGAGGAGCATTATCCAGAGCTATTGTTTGAGTTAAATGTTGTCAAAATCCTTTGAGTTGTGACTGGAAAAAACCTTGGACCTCTGACTGAATGAAATGACTTTTAAGTCATTTTCTTCTCGATTACTTTTCAGTCAGAAGCAATTCGTATTTTTTATCAAAGTATTCTAATAACAAATTAGAAAATATGCTTAAAATCAATAATGAAAAGATTATTGAATGAGAAATAATAATTGAATAAAAAAGTCAATTTCAATCGTCTGTGCCAGAGTTCGAAAACAGTATTTGAATATACAGTGTTGATATTGAAGCTGCCGTGTGAAACGTTTCCGAACGTTTATATTAAAACAAAAAAAGGCGTCACTCCTGTACTTTTGAAATGGTTTGAAAGCTATCTAATGTGACAGAAAAACTTAGCGATAGATGTTTTCCGACAAGAAAATGACAATTTCTTTTTGTTAAAAATAAAAGCGTTTCTACTACCTGTCGAGTGAGTTTATTTTCGTTTTACAATCTCTTGTTCGCTACAGAAAAGGCCTATTTTTCAACATCAGCGCAACCAGTGTCAACAGAGATGTCTCATAAGTGTTAATTTTCGGCATATTTTTGTTCTCACCCTATAGGGTAAGAGCTCTATAGGGTTTTCTATAGAGAACGTACTGTACTTTAAGCGTAATTTACTTGATAAGTACTTGGAAACATTGACAACTCGTTTTTCAAAATTTCTCACTTGCCATGTACTTCAGAAGTACTTCTCAATGATAAAAATACTTGCTTTTATTGCTAAGAAGTACTTTGTGAAAGTCCTTGGCAAGTAAGAGCTTTTTCATTACTCTAAATCACTCTAAAAGGCGTATTTAAAAGCCAAAAGGGTTTTTCTGTATGACCAAAAAACTAAAAGCTGTTTTTTAGAAAGAGTCGAAAGGTTTTTTAGCTTTGGTAAAAAGACCAGATGGGTTTCTTCCTAAACGCATTTGGTTTAGGGAAACATCGTTTTTGGTTTTTCACGTAGTGAAGGATTTTTCAGTTTGAGCAAAAAATCAACAGGTTTTTTTAATAAAGAGTTAATCGAACCCTTTGTATTTCGAAATTCAACAAACAATTTATCTTAACGTCGTTGAACTCTTATGTAGCGATCTCTATATAAAGAAAGAATGAAAAAGAAAAACTTTTGACAAGATCTCTCAAAATAAAGTGTTTCTTCAGGTAATTGACATACTAATTTCAGCAGTGTTCAAATTTCCAAAAAGGAAATTTCCTTTATAAATAAAGCAATTTCAGAAATTTCGACAATGCAAAATCAATAAAATGAGAAAATACCGAAATTACCATACATTCCAA